TAAAGAGATGTTCAATACGATGGTGATGATGAAAAAAGAATTACTCCTAAGTTTTTTTCAGATTACCTCGATCACTATTCGAAGAAAAGTTCGCAAATATTAAATTTCAAATTGCATACCGTTTAAAATGGTTTAAAATCGTTTAGAATGGTCTTTATTTGAAGGAAATCGGCCTAATCGTTCTTGAGTAATGATTTTTGAAGTTAAATTATTTTTAATTAATTAACGTAAATTAGAAAAAAGTTATTTAGTTCAATGTTACTCCACTTAAAAAAAAATTTGGTGCATTTGATTTGTCTCATTAGTGACCTTTAAATGGTAAAATTTAAAAAAATTGATCGCCTAAAATTATTGTTAACTATACAGCATTTTTTAAATAAAACACCGTATGTTTCTTAGCATTTTTGGATGTAGTCTTTTGAAACAATGTTTTTACGCTAAACTTTTATTATTCGATTTCGTTCAGTTTTAAAAATAAGACGTTTTTTGACGAAAATATGTACTTTTAAAAATTTGTACACAAAAACTAAGAGAGCTATAATAAATTTTTTCTTACTTCTACAAAGAAGAAAGTTCAGTATTTAACGCTATAATAATTTTTTAGTGTTTTGCATTTGTAAAGATTAATAAATTAAGAAATTTGTTAAAAGTTAAATAACTTAAAAAAAATTAATGAAACACCCTATTTTTTATTTTTGCGTCTAATAGATTGATAAATTGTCTATCTAAAAAAGTGAATTTTTAAGGTCTAGAATTGAAAAATGAAAAGATATTTAACATTCAATATTAATTGTAGCTACAATGCCTATCAATATCTGAACATTGTTGATACTATGACAACCATAGTAATTGTAAAAATCGTTATAAATACTGAAATTCGAATTATTTTCTTGTAAAAATAAAGAATAATAGATTCAGTTTAACACAAATGTGATTATTAAGTGATATTTCTTCAATCTCTTGTGCAATTGTGCACTTTTTGGCTACTGAAACAATAGTAATTATTTTTTTTAATGTTTAACGTTAAATATCTTTTTAGTTATTGATTATAAACACCTAAAAGTAAATAATTTTAGAAAGACAATTTAATAATCTTTTAAATGCAAAAACAATAAATAGGGTGTTCCATTTAAATTTTTTTGAACTTTTAAAAAACACCTTAATTTTTTTTATTTTTGTAAATGCAACACACTTAAAAAAATGTTACAACTTATAGCTTGTACCTTCTTCTCTGTGGTAGTAAAAAAATATTTCTAGATGTCTTAGTTTTTGTGTAATAAATTCTTAAAAAGTGCATGTTTTCGTCAAAAAAACGTTCAAAAACATATGGTGTTTTATTTAAAAAAACACAAGTTTGTATTGAAACTTATTTTTGAGACACGTTGTCTAGTTAAGTCTAGTTAAAAATAATTTTAGGCGAACTGGATTAGTATCTATCAATGTCTTGTATAATTTTTTTTAATTTTACAATTTCAAGGTCACTAATGGAGTTTTTCAACTCGCTGGAACAGCCTGTATAATATGTCAAGTTGTCTCGCCATGCTTTTTTTTGTCGCCCTGAGATAATAGCTCAAGTGTCAATAATGGGGGCTGTAATTGCAGATTATTGGAGGAGCCACTACGTACATTATAATATTAATACAATTGTCAGCCACACTCAGGGAATAGTCGAGAGGCTGATCCTGTCACGTCAATTACACGAATGAAACTTGCATTAATAAAGCACCTTGTAAACTGATTTCTCCTTCGTTCCGGAAAAAGTGGAAATTGATTAGACTCCCGCTCGGTTCAAATCACATTTCCGCGACTGCAATACACACGTCAAAGCATTGCCAATCTTACAAATACATCTTTTTTATTTCGTTCGCTCAAAGTATTGGAAACTGTCACAAAAACACAATAAAAAATTAACGACCCCCGATAAAGTTCGTCAAGCGGAATTGTTCTATTTCCTTCCTGTGTTATTTTTATTAGAATGATATTTTATGGGATGCATGAACGGTTCACTTTGCGCATAAAATTTTCAGTATTTTAAGAAAATCGCTGATTTAATGACTACTTAATCCGGCCAGAGTGTGCATTTACTGAATAAGCTCCAGAAAATGCATTCAAAGTGTCTGATTTTATATGGAAGGGATCATAAATTGAGCGATTTCATCTCTAGTTAGCGAAATTGGGCGATTTTGAACTGCATTACAAAATTTCGATCAAAAGTGCATTTTTTAATCAGTTAAACAGTAATTTGTAAAATTGAAGTGTATGTTAAACATTTATACAAAACTTGGTGTAGTGTTTAGAAGGATTTTTCAGTTAGAAATAAAAATGTACAGATATTTATTTGTAGAAATACATCAATAAATACATCAATAAAATTTTAGTATACCGGCTGTTTGCCAATTACGAGTAAATATTTTAACTACTAATAAAACTCGTTAGGAAAAACAACTTTTCTATTTCCAACTTTTGCCGAAAAGTAATAAGTTGTGAAAAAAAAGTCTTGCATACTGGGTGATTTCAAAGTACATTTGAGTGCAAATGGACAAAAACAAAATTGTCAAATTTTTCAGAGATTTACATAGTGTGAAAAAGGTTGTTCCCAAAAGGGTTAAAAAAATGTTGTATTTGTGTGAAAAACGAAATGAAAAAACATGGAAAAACTTGACAGAAGTTTAGAAGATGCCTGACAATAATGAAATTATGAATTGTGACAAAGACAACGTCAAAAAACTGCGTTTTTTTACACTAAAGTGTATGTGAATTAATATTTTAACTGGTGATAGATAGTAAAACTAAAAAGAAGTCAAAATAACTTAGCTTGCTTTATCCAAATGTTTATAGTTTTTGATACACAGAGAGTTTTGTTGTCAAATAAATTTACATTTGCGGCATAGACTTAAAATTCACCAACTCAAATTGTAAACAAATACGATTTCTAGTTAGTTCTTCAAAATCTATAACATTGTTTAAAAAAATAGTTAAAATCAACAAAAACAGGCACAGAAAAAAGTGTTCCATCTAAAAAAAACATTAAAGGGTAAAAATTTTTGATCAATTTCATAACTTCAAATGTCACTAGCAACGTAAACTTTGGGATAAAGTACTTAAAAGGTTCAGAATTCATTTATGTTGCATTATTTTGATATTTTTTTGACGCCAATGTATATCTCAGAAACTATAAACATTTAGAAGGCAAGTTGAGTTATTTTGACTTCTTTTGTGCTCTACCAGTGCCTGCTAAAATATTTGCACATACTTCAAAATCACCCTGTATTTATATTGAGAACAAATTAAATGCACAGTTTATTATTTAAACGTCAAGTATTTTTGATCAGTAAAAATAATAAATGCACAGTGTAAATAATAAACGCACAGTAAAGACAATAAATGAATGTCCAGTAAAACTAATTCATTTAATATTCACACATTTAATCTTCAAACAAAATGTTTCCGAGCAAAACTGGAGTGTCGCAAAGCGTTCAGATGATTACCATTTGTGCGCAGTTTCCAGCCCTTGCTAAAATCATTATTGCGCAGGGGCCCTTGCTAATACGTATACCACCCTCCAATACAAAAATAAGTAATACAAAAGTAAGTTCCAATAATAAATAACATAACATTCTTGCTCAGAGGCCATACATTGTTATCTAACCAAGACTAAAAATTCTTTAAATTTTATGTAATTCTACTAATTTTCATTAAAGTACCTGAAGTTTTTTTTATTTTTACTGAGCAATTAGAATTTTTCTACTGAACGAATTACAATAAAATTACGTGCGTATTTTACTTGACATTTATTATTTTTAGTGTGCAAAAATTAGATAAATACTGATCATTTATTATTTTATACTGATGAAAATTAAAGTATGTACTGATCGATTTATTACTACTCAATTACATTTATTTATAAAAAAAAACTATGGAACGTAAACAGCATAAAGACAAAACAAAATTATTGCTACAAAAAGGTAGATCGGTGTCAATGATAATGAGTCAATTTAAAAGAATTTTTTTTTAGCAAACTTTTCAAGTAAAAACCTATTTACGATAAATGAAAAGTAGTAATTTTTATCTGTTTTCTTGTCTTTTTATTGTAATAAATGAAACAAAATAACTAAACTTTTCAATGGTTCAAGGAAAAAATTGAAAAATAAATTCCTCACTATTGTTATCCTATAAACTACACTATTTAAGAAAAAAAGCTTATTTGTTTCTTAGTTTTGATTATCAAAATACGTTTTTAATAATATATTTGTAAACCTTACCTTTAATGACTGCTTTTGTTAGTTAATTCTATTATTTACTTAATGAAATATTAACACCTGCTATTCATGTAACGTAGAACATAACAGGTTTAAATAGGTTCTCATCTCGCTTGGTGAACTGAAATAGGTAATTGTGTATGTAATAATAAATTCAAACTGTTAATTAAATTTTCTTTTTTGTTCACTAGTGATTAAAAATATCGTGCTCTAACTAATAACTAACCTATTAGTTTTTTGTTGCTGAAAATCACCTAAATGAAACACATTTCTATGCGACAGCAGCACGCAAATTAATAAAATTAAGTCTAACGTTCATCACACCACTTTGAGTTTCCACTAACGAAGCTTTAATCCCCGTAAAGGAAACTTTTCATATGTGTAAAATCTGAGTTTGCACTTAAATTAACTCTTGTTAAAACGTGCAAATTTTTATTGTGTTATTTCGTGTCTCTCATTATGTAGATGTTTCAGAGGCTCGTTTATAAAATACGTCTTTTGCCGAAGTTTCCTCAAATATCTGTCAAATAAATTTATAGACCGCAGATTTCCGTCCCCACTTTTAAAAAGTTTTAAAGGGAGCATTGTCCCGGCTTTTTATTGTTGTTTGCGGAACACGTTCGTCAGACATGTGTCAGAATACGTTACGAAGCGTTAAAACTATAAAATAAGACGTAGACGGGACTATCAAATCATAATGAAAAAGCGACGGACGTTTTTATAGACGTTTTATTGTTGCAGAGACCGCCATGGGAGTTGAAGTCAACGCAATGAAGCACTCAGAGTCGGAATACGTTAGATCTGTCTACGGGTGAGATATCCACACTTTTAGTCGACTCTCCAGGAGAGTTTTAATCAAAAACAAGTTCATTCTTCTTTCCTTATTTCTAGAAACCGGATTTTAGGACATTAAAAAATGCAAAAAAGATTCTAAAAACACAGAAAATAGAACATAATAGAAAAATAGGTCATAAAATCCTGGAAAATAAATATTTTTCAATTTATAATTTCACAGATAATAATATACAGGGTGTTCGGTCCAAGTCGCCTCGGCCGATAACACCTAAATTTACTTTTTTTTCAAAAACTAATTTTTCAAATAGTACTATTAATTCCTCGTGTTCTTAGTAAATGCATAAAATTTTTTGGCACATCCGGTGTAGCCGGAAATGCTACCAAATTTAGTTTTTCAAATGGAACACCTATGTTTTTTTGCACAAAACTACCAATATAATAAATCGGTTTAAATTAACATCTCCATGCATGTATTCCCGACTATAAAAAATTACCATTCTTGAAATAAACAAAACAAATCTTATAAAAAGAAAAGTTATTCAATCAAATAAAAATGTTATAACTAACCTTCTCGAATTAATTATTACTAAATTAAATTCTAAAAATCAAGTAACACTTAACAAAACAAAGTAAATCCTAATTAAAAAAAACCTTAAACTTAAAATCAAAAATAAACATGAATAAATTAAACAAACATGAATTATCTAAAATATATTAATATGTCTTTGACTCCACAAATCAAAATTTTAATTTAAACTATTTAGATAAATCCATAAAACCATTAAATCCCCGCTTAAAATAAATAAATTTAGAGGCAATCAGTGTAATATAAGCAAAAGAAACTCACGAACCCTACAAGAAAAATATGAATAAACACCAGAATAAAGACAGCCGTGCTGGCTATAAGAATACAAAAACAATGAATACACAGGTCTAAAAAAAGAAATTAATATTAAAAAAATTATTCTTAATTCTCTAAATCCAATTAATCTATTAATCAAAATAATCTCTCCCAATAAATTCATTGAAGGAGGAGCTGCTATATTACTTGCCAACAGTAAAAACCAAAACATAGATAAACTAGGTATTATATTAATTAAACCCTTATTAATATTTAAATACGACTTCCTAAAACAATTTAAATTTTTGAATTTTATTGCAAATTTTGCAACGTAGGCGGATTTTACTTGTCAAGGTATTCATGCAAAAAGCAATATGCTTTGGTTTCGTTTAATTGTTAAAAAAAGCCCAATTTGTCAATAAATCTTATTGAGATCTTTAATAATGGATGATATTAATTACGACAAATTGGCAGATCAGCTTGAAGTGTTTTTTAAGTGCAATAAAAATAGAGCGGAAGCTGAAAGACAGTATAGAGAAAAATACTCAAATCGTTGGAAATTTAGTCAAATTGAAAAGCAACTGAGACGAATAGGTTTGCTTCTTAAAACTAAAAAACCTGTGGTTCTTTGTGAAGAACAAGAAAATAGAAATCTGAATGTTTTGTTATTAGTCGAAAAAAATCTAAGAGTTTCCATAAGAGAACTCGCTCATCAACTGACAAATTAGATTTGTCAAACCAACAATTAAACTGTATACAAGCATTTTTTTTATTCACACCTTTCCTTTAAAATTACACGACCAATTTCCTTATAAAATTCTAAGATTTAAGATGTTTTTTGATTGCATTGTGTTACGCAAAATGTAATAAATAGTTTACAGTATTTTTAATTTCAATTATTATTGTTTGGAGGAAAAAAAAACATAGGTGTTGTATTTGAAAAACTAAATTTGGTAGCATTTCCGGCAACACCGGATGTGCTAAAAAAATTTGATACTTTTATTAAGAAAGCTAAGAATGAATATTATTACTTAAATATTTACTTTTTGAAAAAAAGAATTAAGTTTAGGTGTTATCAGCCGGGGCGACTTGGACCGAACACAATGTATGTTTTATAAAAAATCAAGTTAAGTATGTCCCCGAATTGAGTTTATATTTTGCTTAACCTGAAACGAACAAATTTCTAATTAAAACTTTATTATTCTGATTTACGATTGTGATTCTGACTCAGTGTTAAGAAAACTCATTCATTTTTCTATTGATTTGTAATAATTGTCGTTATTTAACTTGCGTAAACTCTTTTGTTTTGTCCAAAATCAAGAGAAAAATGAACTTTCACTGAGTTAGAATTTCAGGTTAAACAAAAATGTTGTTACTTTGCAGTTTTGGCGCAAAATCAAAACATAATTGTTTTTTTAACTTGCAACGTTACAGCTACATTTTTTAAGAAGAAATTCTTTAAAGCTTTTGATCTCTGTTTAAAAGAAAATCTAATTCTAGTAACAAATTTTGAGTCAGAAGGTTTCACTATTTTATGCGCAAGTTCTGGCGCACTCTGTATACTCTCGAAAAAGTATGGATGCATCAGCAAAATATTTTCAGAATGGTTTAGCAGAGCACGTTGAAATTTGAAAAACAGTTAAAAGTGTTTAAATTCTATCATCTGAGATCTTTTTCAAATTTCTACCATCATTTTTTTCGAAAATACAAAGCTAAATTATTTTTTTTAATGGCACGAAGGGTTAAATTAAATGATTTTTAAAAGAGCACATATTTCTGAATTTAATTATGTAACAAATACCCACTTTTAAAAAAAATAAATAAAAATGTTCAACAGATTATTATTACAAATCGAAGATTGTCAATATTTCTCCAAATATTTTAATTGATTTGCAAAATTTTCCTCAACAAATTGACTAAGGAGTCAATGCAAATTATTTTGAACATTTTTTTTTGTAGTATAAAAATTATGTATTTCGTGTTTAAGCATTTTTATGTATTTTGTGTATTCTTTTTCAGTTAAAAGTGTTATTTTAAACAAGATACTATTCGTAGTTACATCACGGAATTCAGAAAAAATGCTCACCTTAAAGATATTAAATTTGACCCTTCTTGTCATTTAAAAAAAAAATTAAATTAAAATTAAATTAACTCTATTCATACTTTTTAGCGACCCTGCATAACAAAATATTTCAGTCTTATTTCTATAGCTTAAAACTTTTCTATGGCCACATTGGCAACTAAATTGCAATATAAAAAGTTGTATTTTCTTGGACTGTGATTGATGCAAGAAATAATATAGTCCAGTCAAAAACTAATATTAAATTGTTATAAGTTTTTATAAAAACTTGACGATTTTGTTTCTTGTCTGGAGCACGTAAGTATTTACTTTCGTAGCTAACAACAAGAAAATTAAAAATAAATAGTAAACTTCACTTACTTCACTTCACTTAGCGGAAAAATATATATATAAAGTGACAAAAAGGCGATAACAAAATTTTGAAATAAAGTTAAAAAAAATAAATAAATTATTTGTCTTAAAACAATTTGAAAAAATATTAAAATTATAATTTTACTCGTAGGATAAAAAAGTTTATATTTGTCGTTTTAGGATTTTAGGGCGCAAAAAAATTTGTGTACGAACTCTACTTTATCTGAAACTTTTAAAATTTTTGGTCCCGTCTACGGGCTTAAATAGAATCAAAAAGGCATTTTACTTAATATCCGGTCTCTACTAATTTCCTGTTGACATTGTTAAATAACTACGACTATAAAATAGCAGAATCATGTGTACCGCAAATTTGCCATTAGTTTGTTGAATACAATTTGTAGTCAAAAGTTGTATAACATTTTTTTATGGTCATTAAACTTGCAAACATTATTCGTGCTGCGCACTCATGGTGTTCATAAGAATGAACATTCATAAAAATATTCGACAATTTTTGACTACTCTTGGTATTATAAGTGAGGATTTATCTGATTACAATAAAATTTTTGTATTTTATGTAATGCTGCAAGTTTCACACAAGTACTATGTTTTTCATTAATTTTTATTTTAGAATCGCGGACATCATGCTATACCGTATGTTCCACCCCTATCTTCACCCCGACTTTATCTTCAACCTATCTTCCAAGGGCCGTCAGCACAACAAGTACCTGTCAATTCTGCATGGCTTCACCAGAAAGGTACAACATCCCTCGGTTTGTGAACACGCGTCGGGGATTATTATTAATCCATCCGGCGCCAAATGGGGCGACGTTCAACTTGAGATGCTTCAAATGAGCATTAGGGCCGGCTCGATACATCCAGAGGGAGGAAACGCGAAATTAATTCGGGGTCATCATTGTTAATACCATTTCTGATTAATTGTCTCGGATAATACGAACAGATTGTTAAGGGCAATTTCAGGAAAAACAATGCAGGAAATATCACAAAGGATTATTTCAACTTGACATTAAAACTGCAAAATTGGATTTTTTATTTGGATCTTTGGCAAATTGATTTGCCTCAGCGTTCGGATAAAACAAAATCAAATTTTTGCCGTTTGAAGTTTTAATAACGGAGAGGCTCGCTCGCAGCGGAGAACTAAGTTATTTGATTGCATTGTTGCTTTTTTTAATTATTGTATTATGAAATTGCGGGTTTCTGATAGAACACTGAAAATATTGACGTTATACAGGGTGCGCCAGAACTCGCGTCCCAGAGAAAAATGCCATGTAAGGTAAGATACCAGAAGCATGGAAAAAATGTTCAAAAAATCTACCGATAAAAAATTAGAAGTTTGCACTTTGATTCTATTTATTTCTGTTAGAAAAATAAATTTGCAAGTCTTTTTGCTACAGGCTATTAGAGAGGAAACAAAGAAGCTTTTATTGGTATTTTTACTAAATAATTATAAAAAAAAACATATACAAATTTATCAGTATCATTAAATAGACATAAAATAATGTCAAATGTCAAAAAATAAATGTGAAAATTTTTGGACAGATAGAATTTGATGTTCCTGGTATCTTATTTCACTTGGAATCTTACTCTGGGGCGCTAGTTTTAACACACCCTGTATAATGTGATTTTTTAAATTAGAGACAAAATTAGAGCTCCCACGTGAAAAATTAATCGCCGCCCTTTAACTCGAGTGGTTCGTCGTCCGTGTTCGACTCTAATCCTATCAAGAAAAAACCCTAGCAATTTGCAAGGATAATTGCCATTTAAATATTTACTCGTGTTTTCGAAGGTGATACAAGAAAGGAAGGAGAAACTAACAAGTGGAAGAGACGTTGTGCAGGAACTAAGCGAAGAGGACAAATTGTTGGGTAAAAAGAAACGTCTCGCCTTTTTAGACCTCCTGTTGGAAGCCAACAAAAACAGCGAAGGGGGACTGACGGACGAAGAGATCAGAGAGGAAGTTGACACGTTTATGTTTGCTGTAAGTAGATGAAATCTGCGGATTTTCTGACGCAAATTATGCTAAAGGCAAAATATATTCTCTTTTATGTCTGCTGAAAACATTATTTTAATAATTTTTATTTGTCACAAAGTAATTTTTTGTGTTTCTAACTTTTAAACATTTTAAATGTAAAAGTTTTAATCACTGAAAACTAAACTTTCATAATAATTAATTTTGAACGAAAACCTGATGATTGATTTATATTATTTTGTTTTACTTTATTCACAAAAATCTTAAATGCACAAGAAAACGTAATAAATATAACATAACATAATAACATAAAAACATAAATCAATGCATTTGAAACGAAGGCCAAAAATGTGAAATTTGTTCACGTTAGCGCGTAACTAAAAAAACAAGTTTTTGTTATACAGAGTGCGCCAGAACTCGTGCCTCAGAGAAAAATGCCACGTTAAGTAAGATACTAAGAACATGGAAAAAATTTTGAAGTTATGTGGAGTTTTAATTTTGCACTTTGACTCTTTTTATTTCTGTTAGAAATTTTTGCTACAGGCTATTAGAAGAGGAAACAAGAAAGCTGTATCCTAAATTGTAACTCTGTTTAATGTTATTTGTGGCTTTTATTGACAAAATTTTTGTACCTTGACTAAATAATTATAAAAAAAAAACATATACAAGATTATCATTATTATTAAATAGACAAAATATGTCAATGTCAAGATTTTTGACAGATAAAATTTTTTAAACATTTTTTCCATGTTTCTGGTACCTTATCTTACTTGAATTTTTTTTCTGGGGCGCGAATTTTGACACACTCTGTATAAATGGTTCTGTGAAACTGGTATAGTCAACTTTTCTAAAGTTTACAGTAATTTTGTAATTTGGTGTTGCGAATGTAGAAAAACATTGTTTGCTATAAACAAAACTTAATACATCAAAAAGATTAGGTTTTGTTATTCAGTTGTGTTTCCGAATGGATTAAAAATTTAGGACAAACATTGGTGGAGGCGCCGTGTTATTTAATAAAAAAATGTAAATTATAAATTAGATAGAAATTTAGTGTTTGATTTTTGTAAAATGTAATTTAACAAATAGAAATCAATGCTTTTGAAACGGAGGTCAAAAATATGTAAATTTTATTCAGGATAGCGTGTAAATAAGAAAACAAATTTTTGTTACATAGACAGGATTATTATTTTTAAATACATATTTTTAAAAGTAATACAATACTTTTGCGATTAAAATTATACAGACTTTTGGTATCAATTGTTTGCTTATTGTCTTAGATAATGACTAATGAATAAAAATATTCTATTCTTTCACAGTAAAAAATTAAAACGATCAGTTTAATATAATATTTCGCACAGTTTGTTTGTAAATGTGTGAATATTAAATTAATTAGTTTTACTAGACATTTATTCATTTCCCTTTATTATTTTTACAGATTTAAAATACTTGTCGTTTAAATAATATACTGTGCATTTAATTTGTTTCCTTTTATTTAATTTTATTTAATTGGCTAAAAGCAAAAGTTAGTGATAAATTGTAGTTAGTGAGTTTGTTGAAGGACAATACAATGAGGAATCCAAAAATAATTAAATATTAAATATATAATATTAAAATAAACACAAGTAAGAGGTATAAATTTAACCAAACCGCCTATATATCGAATGTCTTGACAATGGGTATCCCATTAAAAAAACTAAAATTGATGTCACTTGTAGTGAAATAGCATTTTTCTCAAACAATAGATGACAAAATACTGTTCAACTTTGTTTTAAAAATTATTATTATATTTTTAAAGATAATAGAGTTATGGTTTGAGGCATTCTTCATAATCTGGTCTGTATGATTGTTTCTGTGAAGGTGGAATAGTCAAATTATCTAAAATTTATGAGAATTTTTGTAATACGGTGCTGTGTATCTAAAAACAATGTTGAATAATTGTGATCCATTTCAAGGTTCAAGTATAGATGATAATGAGAATAAAATTTAAAGTCTACTTAAACATAAAAACTAGTTTTTATTATATAAAATTATATAAATTTAAACGATTACAATGAAATTCTTGACGGAACATGTACCTCTACAACTAACTAAAAACTAGTTTTTATGTCCAAATAGATTTCGATTGTATTATCATTAAAAAAATTGTCTGCTATTAAACAAAACTTTATACATCAAAAAATGAGGTTTTGTTATTTTATTCAGTTGTGTTGCCGAATAGGTTGACAATTTACCTCAAACTTTAACAATGCAAATAATAAATTATACAAATTTGGAAAAATGGTGTTCTAAACACGAATAAATGTTACTTTAGCGTGGAATTAGAGAAAGTAAATATTTTATTTGTTACATCATTACATAAAATAAATATCAAATATTATCACAGCTATGAGCTCGAATTATTAGACTGTGTATTTAGCACTGATTTATCTTAACGCTAGTCTGAGATAATTAAACCAACTACTTTTTTGTGGTTTGCACTTAATTAAACGGAACAATGTGCAAAAGAGCGTAAAGTGCAGACTAATGAATAAATCTTACAACAAGTGATTAAATTGAAATCTCTAGCTTTTCCAAGCAAAAAGGGGAAGCTTTTATTGTAATTCTTGCCAAACAACAACATTAGGAACTAAAAAACTAATTCATTTTTAGACGAAATTGATGGAAAGTTACTGTTTTGTTTAGACACTTTTCCTCGTCCCGATTTCCCGAAATCATCGCTCATTGGAATCCGAGACAAAAACTGCTTTCATAAATCCGCGTCGTTTGATTCAGTTTTCGCAGCCCCGGATTCGCAATTTTGTCGAATAATGGGGGCTTAGCTATTACTCGTTTGGACATGCATTTCTTTAAGAAATAAACCAAATTTTGCAATTTTTTATATCAATATCAGAAATAATCCAAATTTAGCAAAACAAGCTAAAATACCAATTTAGAAAACATTTTTTTATTCAACAATTGTATTTTTTTAAATTTGAGCAATTAGTGTGAAAAACGGAATAATAAATTGCAAAAATAAATTTATTATTGACAATGTTGCAACTTTTTACATTTTTTTAGCTCGAAATCTTGAGGAAAGTATAAAACAAAGAATGAGAAAGCAATCATTTGAGTAAAACAAAATTCTTGATAAATTAGAAAATGAAAAACTTAAAACTTGCAATTTTTGCTATAGAAAATAAATAGTTATAAAAATCCTGAAACAGAATTAAAAACTAGAATCCAATAAGATTCGAAAATTAAATTCGTTAGATTTGTTCTTGCAGTTTCTTTAAAACATAAAAAGTTTTTGTTAAAATTAATATTAAAGTAAATTTTACTCGTCTTCTACGAATTTTTCTAGAGAATTAAGAAATATTTTTTTTTGTAAACACAACTAATTTCGATTCATAATTTAATAAATACTTACTGTTGCTCTTAAAAATTGATGGAAAGTTACTGTTTTGTTTAGACACTTTTCCTCGTCCCGATTTCCCGAAATCATCGCTCATTGGAATCCGAGACAAAAAGTGCTTTCATAAATCCGCGTCGTTTGATTCAGTTTTCGCAGTCCCGGATTCGCAATTTTGTCGAATAATGGGGGCTTAGCTATTACTCGTTTGGACATGCATTTCGGTCGATTTGCGAGAACTTCGCACAATACAAGTGGCAACACAATGGGCACAGATAGATCTTATAATGTCTATAAATTACCCCGGTCGCCCCGGCAACTTTGTTCATTAATTATTAGTTCGGATTTCGAACTCGAGACCGAAATCCAGATCTTCATAATAACGGCATTGGAAGGGTTGTTACGGGCGGACGACGACGCCGGCACCACCGCAGATCCGAATTTAATTGATTTTTATGTCGTTTAATTAACTGACAGGGACGAACACGCTTCACTTAGGTTCAAAAGCGATTATTTCGGGTCGCTCGACCGGAGGTAAGGGCCGTTTTGATTCCTGGAGGAGACACCATGAATGCTGCTGGTACTCGTAGCGTGGAATGAGCAGAATTGCTCAATTATTGAGAATAACTCGAATTTGAATCGGGAATTCGAAATGCACAGAACATGCCACAAATTCCAAAAAAATTGAGAATTAAACTGTTGAAGCATTTTTTTCTAAATAGCTTTCTAAAGTGCGAAAATTTATTCATTTTGCATTTTAGAAACAGAGATTAGGTAAAAAATTCTCAAAATGTTCCAAAATACCAAACATCCGTAAACAATCCAAAAAGTAATAAATAATTTAAAAGGTAAATTAAGAAAATGGCAAATTTAAATGAAGTTATTGCTGTTAAACTTAGTTCAACTTATTCAAATATGTTGATTCCGTTTCAGTATTTGATAAACTATTATTAGAAATTTTAAATCAAAAAATAGCAGCAATTATGGTCATATTTCTCTAAATATCTTTAAATACTGTGTTTTTTAGAACTTAGAAAGCCACATAATAAATATGTAATTTGTTAGAAAAAAGAGTTTTTTACAAATCTTAAAAGTACCTAATTGAAAATTTTAGACCAATAAAAAAGTAATTGAGTAATTCAAAGGACAATCTACGTACACAGCTTTTTTTTTGATTTTACAAGTAAAATATTAAAACACTTCAAAAATGATAATAGTTGGGTTTCTAAATTTATCTGATACTATTAGAGACACTTGAAAGTAGTAAAATAAAATAACTTTAGTATTATTTGTCTTCAAGATGTCATCAGAGTTATCAACAATAAAAATTTAAATTATAAATCAAACTTTGCAGGGGTTAATATGAGGGTTTTTCAAAGCAGTATTTTGGGTTCGGTTTTCTTTGTTATTTACATTAACAATATTAGGTATGTTTTCGGATAGATTCAGAAACGGAATTAAAAAGTAGCATCATATTGGATTCAAGTTCAAGTTTTTGTTAAAATTATTATTAAAATAAATTTACACTCGTTATAAAAATAAAATAAAAAAAGAAATAAAAATAAATAAAAATTTGTCTTTAAACGATTTTTGAAAACTGATTCTTATGTAATTTGTTACA